GTCCAGAGTGAACAACATTTTTGTGCATGATAGAAGAAAAACAGTAGGAAAGAATCATTAAAAAATAAAACTGACAGAATGTTGCGGTTTCGTGCGTTTCATAACCACCGGCGGCGCTACCATCTCCGGTGATGATAGTGGAGTATTTTCCATCACCGATCAACGTAATATCATCTTTGCTAGTACGAATTTTCTCATTATAAACACCCGCCTTCACATAAATCACAAACCGTCCGCCGGACGCCGCGTTAATAGCCTCCGAAATCGTTCGGTAATCTCCCGTTCCATCCTTCGCCACCACCGCATTTGCCTCTATCTTACTCGCCTGAAGTAGTCTCCGATGTCTCCTCGTTAACCAGCTGGGAAAATCCCGTTTCTGGTTAGTCTCATTCTGCACATTGCCGGTCATCCTGTTGACGAGCGTCAGAGGATTACTGCCCAATCGAGACAGGTAATCCATTTTCTTGGATATCTGCTCCATGGACGGACCAATAATGTCGGCTGAGTCTTTACATGTTTGTTGAAATGTCAAGGCGGCGCTGATCCATGTCTGGATGTCCTGCTTCTTCGTCTTGCTAGATATTTTGAGGGCTAATAAAGATTGTTCTAGCCTTCGTATGGACATGCTCATAAGATCTTGACAATATTCTGCGTCAAAAATAAAAATAAAAATAAAAATATTTGAGCAAAATATTATGCATACTACTTTCGAGATTACTTTTACAATCCCTTTTTTTCTTTTTTTTTTTTACTATCATAGTTATAGCAATTTCTTTTGACAACTATAACAGTATAACATTATGCATTTTCTGTTTTAAAATAACTTTTAATATTTGATTTTGAACTTGTTTTAAATTAATTATTGATTGTTTATTTTTTAGTATCAACAAATATTTTTTCCTACTTTAAACCTATCATTATTAATTTATTTTGATTAATTATTCTATCATAAAATCTTACTTTATCTTTGAATTTTTTCTTAAAAATAATATAGATAAATATATAAATTATCTTAAATCCTTAATTTAAAAACAAAATAACCACTAGTTTAAAAGGAGGTAGTACAATAATTTCAAACTGAAACCTGTGTCACTATTTATTTTATCTGAAAGTTTAAGCTAAAAAGGATAATACATACCAATGATTGAATTGGCATGTTTGGTTTCTTGAACTTCAAGATTGGAGCTGATCAAATTGGTGAAGTACGAAGAGGGTAGTTTGGTCTCGGAGATGGTCTTGCTCACTAAAGCAGACATGAAATCAATTTGCTGATTACCTGACCCAAGCCCCTTTAGGGTATCGAGGCAGAGTTCGGGATATCTAGTAAAGCTGCATTGCGTTTGGACATTCTTTTGATAATCGTCCATGGCAGCAAAGGAGAGAGAGGCACACCCCAAGAGCAAAAGTAGCATTATCTTAAGAATTCCCATATTAGAGAATTTCTAGAGGAATTGATCAAATTCTCTTAGAAATTTTGTGGATGCCATAAGTGATGGGTGGGAGCATTAATAATGAAGGAAGGAAGGTTGTGCAAGGAATTTTGCATGGTTATTGGCACTAAAACGTTATCTAGTATCAGTTTGGGAGTCTATTTCATGGGTCATCACAAAGAAGTGGTGCTGAGATGACGAGGAAGCAATTCTTTCTATTTCTTGTGGGCCTTTTGGAATCACATTTAAATGTACGTTTTGCACATTGGGAAGCCTCTTTAGTAGCAGCCAGCTCACAACATACCATCAGTACTTTTCTCTTTCGATTATCAAGAGTAACTTAAATGGTTAATAATTTAAAATTTTAAATAAAAAATTTTGAATTTAAATTTTAAGATAATTTGGGATGAATTAAGAAAATGTAAGGGTTATTGCTTATTTATATAATTTATTATCAGACAAATTAAAAAAAAAAAGTACCCTCTTTTTTTAAAATATCAAAGAGTTGAATATTTAATAATACATAAATTTTAATTTTGATCTTAATTTTAAATTAAAAATTTTAAATTAATAGATATCAATTCATCTAGATTCTTATTGGTAAAAATACTTTTTTCTTTTAAAAATTTTATGAATACGTAACTCATCTTGTGAATGAGTAGCTTATTTAGCTAAATTGAAGTGTTAATTCTTACAAATATTATTTGAATAAACTTTTTGTATAATATTTAATTTATGTAATATCAAGTTATGTAATTTGAAAATGGATAGGTTTTAAGTGAAACATTGCGTGATTAACACATTTTTCTTGAGTAGAACGCACTAATTGATATGCATTTAATTTTTAAAAAAATAGAATTAATATGCATTCCTTTAATACGTCACACTACATTAAATATAGATGAATCAATTCTTATCCCTTATATCTTCAACTACATATATGTTCTTTTCGCGGATCCCACTATCACATCGAATGTTCCACTTTTTACTGTCAGATATGTTTCCAGGAAGAGC